AAAGGTATACATTTTCTAATATCTGCATATTTTTCCTATATCTGCCCCAATATCATTCATTCAAAACCAATTAAAAGACTTTCTCAAAAGAGCTACATTTGCAAACTCAAATTGCAACTCCATGTGTTTCCACAACAACACTGAATCAAGGGCATAACCAGATAAGAAAAGAACCACAATAGAACAGCACAAAAAATGGCAAAGAACTGTATATCTATATATATATAATTACTAGCTCAAAACATTTAATAAAACCTATTTAATTTTACCTATGTGGCAATTTAACAATTTTCCCTCCAAAAACCGTTACATTTTGATGTATTTAATCTTTCATTTAATCATTAAATAATTAATACTCATCACTTTAAAATTACAAAAATTATTTAAAACTTTTGATTAATGACAGTTGACCATATAATGTGTTGACCGTATAATGTGATTAGATGTTATTATTGTTGTTACATTTAATTTTTTTTTTTAAAATAAAAAATATATCTATATATATATAATTATTAGCTCAAAACATTTAATAAAACCTATTTAATTTTACCTATGTGGCAATTTAACAATTTTCCCTCCAAAAACCGTTACATTTTGATGTATTTAATCTTTCATTTAATCATTAAATAATTAATACTCATCACTTTAAAATTACAAAAATTATTTTAAACTTTTGATTAATGACAGTTGACCATATAATGTGTTGACCGTATAATGTGATTAGATGTTATTATTGTTGTTACATTTAATTTTTTTTTTTAAAATAAAAAATATATTTATATATATATAATTATTAGCTCAAAACATTTAATAAAACCTATTTAATTTTACCTATGTGGCAATTTAACAATTTTCCCTCCAAAAACCGTTACATTTTGATGTATTTAATCTTTCATTTAATCATTAAATAATTAATACTCATCACTTTAAAATTACAAAAATTATTTTAAACTTTTGATTAATGACAGTTGACCATATAATGTGTTGACCGTATAATGTGATTAGATGTTATTATTGTTGTTACATTTAATTTTTTTTTTTAAAATAAAAAATATATCTGAAATTTTTAAATAAATAATAAATAATTCACAAATAAAAGACGTACCAAAATAAACATTACATCCAATTAGATAAACGTAATTTTAAAAAAAATATTCCAACTCTTTTAAGTAAATTTGGTCTGCAAAAAAGTGAAAGAAAAATAATTAATCATTATATGCATACAGACTCACAATAATTTATTTATATCTGTGCAAATGCACAGGTCGCATACTAATAAATATTTCAAAACGCACAAAATATTTCTACTTATCTACAATACATAAGAACGCTTCTACAGGCAACATTCAGCCAACATTTTCAATCCAAAAATCTCTTCTGTGAAAGAGCATGGAAGAGAAGCAAAAAAACCCTATATACTTAAATCAACAGCCAACTTACAAATACCATCTTCATCGAGAATTTTTCAAAGAAAACTCAAACTTGTAACAAATTAATCCCCTTCACCATCACGAACCGAACAATCCCATTTCAATCAAACACCATACGACCAAAAGCATTCTTGATTCGACTTTTGCACATCTATCGCAAGTCTTGCTCAACATCCGAATTTATCGAACCAGAAGGATTAACCCTTCTATTATAACTATTATAACTCAACAGTCTTTTTATCGACTGGAGTCTCGTGGACATCGAAGATTTTTGTTCGTCTTCCTCATTCACCTGACGTGCAATCTCCGACAAGCTGCTAGTTGACTCGACTGGTAAAGATGAACTCGGTAAACTCGGTGATTGCTCAACAAAAACAACATTATTGTTATTATCATTAGCATCCTCAACAGGAGTAAATGTGCTGACTTGAGTCTCATCTCCCCAAATCAACACGTTGGTTGGAAAATTCGGGGTTTCAGTCTGAAAGTTGCTATCTTCTCCCAAATTTTCAACTGCCGGAATTTGAATTACAACAGAATTTAACTGTGGCTCGTCTGAGGACCCCGAGCAATTTGGATTTTTAACCGGGTTTCGACATAAAGGGCAAGTGGAATGTGACTCGAACCACATGTCAATACAGTCCAGGTGAAATCCATGGCTGCATTTGGGCAAAAGCCTGGTTTTTTCGCCTTGGGAGATTTCGGAGAGGCAAACCGCGCATTCCAGCCCTTCTTTGAACTCTTCCGGGTCGAACATGATGACGGGTAGGGCTCTGAGGACAGAGGGATCCAAGCCGCGGCGGGAGACGGACAGCTCCGGGTAGCCGTCGGCGAAGTCGAATCGGCGGCGACGGCGACGGCGGCGGCG